ATATTTGATACAAAGGGAGTTTACTTGTAAAAGGTTTAAGGTAATCAGTAAACACCATATCTCTTTTTATACTGGTGTGTGGCCGGAATTCAGATAAGATCATAGCATATAAGATATACAGTACTTAACTTATTAGACCACCAGGTCTTACCAGGTCCTGGGTAAGGCAGGAAATGAAAGTCAACTGAAGCAGACGTCAGACACCTCAATATTGTAAGTACTAGAGACAGAGGGAAGACCACTGCTGATGTTCAAGCAGAGATGAATGCTTCTAGATCAGAGTCTGAGAAAGTCTCCAGAATGACCATAAGCAGACAACTAATGGAACAAGGTTTAGGAGGAAGAAGAGCTGCTGAGAAGCCATTATTGAGGCCTGCAAACATCCAGAAACACCTCAGATTTGCCAGGGAGCACAAACACTGGACTGTTGGTGACTGAAAGAAGGTCTTCTGGACAAACGAGTCCAAGTTTGAACTCTTTGTTCAGCATCATCATGTTTCTGTGCGCAGAAAAGCTGGAGAGCGTTTTAATGCCAGATGCATTGCACCCACAGTAAAACACGGTGGAGATTCCATGATGACATAGGGTTCTATTAGTGGAGACGACGTCGGCAAATTAGTGAAATTCAGCGGTATCATCGACAAGAACATCTACCACAACATGCTAGTGCATCATGGAATCATTTTTGGACTGATTCTGATTGGTCGTGGGTTCATATACCAACAAGACAATGAGCCAAAGCTACTTCAAAGCTCAGCAGAGACTATTTGACCAAGAAAAAGGAATCTGGAGTCCTGGAACTGATGGACTGGTCAAGTCAAAGTCCAGATTTGAATCCTGTTGAGCAAATTTAGGATGTAGTACATTCAAAGATTGAAAACTTTCATCTAAAGCAAGTCTTTAGGCACAACTAGAAACTACTTGTATCTTAGTAACAAAAGAGACTGTTGAAAAGTACATAAACACAATGGCAGCAAGAATACAAGCTTTTATCAAGGCCAAAGGAGGCCATACGAAATATGAAGTTTAATGGTTATTATGTATGAAAAACGACTGTTTAGTTATTTCAGTTTGTTACTTGCTAAAAAATTTAACAATAACACTTTTAGTTTTAAACAAGTTTTGAAAGATTTCTAAAATATTTATGTTTTCTCGTTTTTATGACGGGTGGTGTAATAAATTTGTCAAGCAATGTACGTTTATCACCCACCACAACAAATCCACTGCCAGCCTTAATGTTGGTTATGAAAACCTCTCTTAAATATGTCAGTCGCTATGTCCGTTGAATAGGGTAAGAATATACCAAACCTGTCTGACTTCCCATTTTCCTGCTCTACCTCCAGATCAGTGTATGTAGGGACTGCCATCACCTTACTGAGAATTCATTGAGTGTGAACTGAAAATTATATAATGGCAGGATTGTGAAATTCATCAATGGTTAAAATAAATTTGATGACTTGTAAGGTTACCCTACATCTTTCTGGTTTTACTTTTTATATACTTAGGAAGATCGAATGAAAACACACCACACAGGAGGTCTTGTATTTCTTAAAATTATGTTTTATAATTGGGCCTGTCATAGTAATAGACTTCTTTGTTAGTGGTTCATTGCTGTCTAAAGGGAAGAGGACCCACTTGAGTCATGGGGATGTTCTCCTTTTGGGTTACTAGGGAAGCTTAATAGCAAAGAGAAAACCCATCCCCAGGCAAGTGATAACTAAGACCTGATTAAATGTACAGTTTGAAAGAGTAACTTTGTATGGGGACTTCCCTGATGGTATTAGAAGTGCTGTATTTCATTCCTGGGGCCTCATTTATCATCAGTGCGTAGAAAAGGTTCTAAATTCTGTTTTATGAATGAAATTTAGAGTGTGCCTAAGTACAAAAAAAATCAGTATTTATCAAACATGCGTACGTGGGTCGTACGCACATCAGTAAGTCATCAGTGTTAACTTGTTCATAGCCACCATGCTCGTGCACGTTTGGGATCATTTGCCTCCAGAAAGACCTCCAATTAACCATATACAGCAACAACAAACCTCTTTATAAAACAAGTAATTATTTCCCCCCTCACCTTTTATCATCCTGGCAAAGAGGGTGACAAAGAGGAACTGAAATTGAAGTAATTGTCAGCGAGGTTGAAGCTAACCAGAAATAATTGTTTGGTGCATTACATGTTGGGATGAGCAACAAAAGAAAAAATACTGCATGGGACAAGATAACCACCACAGCTATTTCTGTTAGGTCAGAGGAGAGATCGCTAGCAGAAATATTAAAAAAAGAAAAGAAAAAAAAAGTGGTTTGACGTTAAGCTCAGTACCAAAAACGCACCACAGCCCATTAAAGAGAAATAACTGCAACTGGAGGAGGACGAATTAATACCCAACGTTCACCCAGTGGGTGAAGTGGTTTAGTTTGTTTGTGCATGCTGTTTTATTTCACACTGTTCTTTTCTTACCTCTTAGCTCCTAACACCTCAAATGTGATGAGGGATGTATGTAATAATTATTAGATAAATAATTATTTTGTTAGATGGCATCAGTCCATCACAGGGTCAACACAGAAGTACAGACAACTGTGCACACCAACAGCCACCTGTTATGTATGTCTTTGGTCTGTGTGAGGATACTGGAACACCTGGAGAAAAACCCCACAAGCAAAGGAAGAATATGCAAACTTCACACAGAAAGGCTCCAGCAGGTTCAAATGTTCTTGCCTTTAGGCGACATTGCAAACTACTGCATCCTCATGTTGCCCCACATAAGCTTTCCCCCATGCCCTCCAAACCCACATTCATTTATACTGTGATAAAGCAGCATCCATGATGTGCTTCCACACATTGGAAAACATTAGACCATACGTGAAGGTATAGACTGTATTTGTAAGATGGATGTAGCCTTCAGGTCTGCTGTTGTTTCAAAGGGCCAACAGGTGGCCAGTTCACTGGATGCAGGAAGAAGTCTGTTGTGTAGAGGTCGAAGAGAAAATCACCCTGCATCTTACTTGATCTGTGGCTTCAACAGATCTTTTCCTAATGAGTTCATGTTCTCAGCTGCTTTCTTTTCAATACAGCATGATGTTAGTGTTGCAAACTGTGGTTCTATTTGACTAAAATGGAATGTATGTTTTAGGATGTGGCTGCCTTGTGAAAGACAAGTCACTACCTTATGGCCATGCATAGTGTTGATGAGTTCTCAGTCTAATCCGCCCCTCACTCACACAACTGAGTAAAAATAATCAAGATGAACAGCACATTTTAAAACAATCTTTAACCCCAAAAGATGCTTTGTAGTTTGAACAGTTTTGCAGCAGACAAACACATTTCATTCATTTCATTAATTCCATGAAGAGTGGAGCTTTTAGCACAGCTTCATTCACATCACAGCATGTTTGTAGTGGGAATCTTAAGCTTAGCAAACCTTCCATATCTAAATGTGTCACATGATTCTTTAGCTGGTTTATTCTATCCCAAATCAGTAGGAGTCTTCTGGTCAACCATCTCTGATTTGCTTGAAACTTAACCGTACACTGCTGATATTTAAAATGTATCTGTAAATTTTTTGATTGATACCAAATACTTCTCAAGATAATGGTTTTTGTTCCTGTTGACTTACCTTCAGCACATTTTTTTTCACATGGAAATTTGAGGCTATATTTAAACTTCAAATATCTCTCCTATTTTTCATCTAGCCATTGATTCAGAATATTGGGCAAGTTAATCAAATAGTCTTTCAATATGGATGAGTCGAAAAAAAATTGCAGAAATTGATTCGTGTTATTTTCTGAAACATTTGCATATAGTGCAAAACTAAACATATACAATCTGTTTTATTATTTAATACTTGATCACAACACATTGTTTTTGTAGAGTTCATTTGCAAAAATAGAGAACTCCATTTTTGTAGATTTTCAGACAACTTATTTTTATGTTGTTTGCTTAAGATCATATCAATGAAACTGAAGTTGAGTGGCTTTGACTCAGCAGAAATGACATGACAAAAATAGAGATAACTTAAGTTTGATTGATATTGTCTCAAAAGTGGGTTTTCTGAAGGTTTGTGAAGATGGAGTTATCTGTTTTTGCAAATGAACTCTTCACTTGATTACAGGCGTATCATTTTCATTTTCATATAGCTTAAAGTCACTTTTGGAGTCACATATAGCCCTGTGATAGACTGGTGCAGGGTGTCCCCTGCCTTCACCCTAAGTCAGCTGGGATAGGCTCCAGCCCCATCCCGCGACCCTAGTAAGGATTAAGCGGTGTATAGATGATGGATGGATGGCTGGATGGATGGATGGATTTGAGATGGAATGACACGGCTTTAATTGTGTGTCCACACGTCACAACTCTGTGGAAGTTGTAAAGCTGAAGGACAGTCAGAGATGGTAAAAACTTCAATACCGATTTGGTACCAATAAAAAGGCATAAGGTAGGCTACTGTGTCTTCATGTCACTTGTTGTGCTTCAGTGCAACCTAACCTCAGCCTGGTGTCAAATGATACCTCAGAGAGAAAGTTGGAAGTAATAAATGGTAAAGGTGTTACACACAGCTGTTTATCTCTGATCTGTCAATCGTGGTTTCGACCAGGGCTAAAACCAGTGAGCATCAGTATACAGCCATGGTGAAAAGAACTATCTGTGCAGTATTTTGAGCTGAAAACTTGATAACCACACTATATGAGACTTGAATTAATTTGCAAGGGACACAATAAGGAACCTTCAAAGACTGACACAACTTAGATTGTCAAAATAAGAGCTCACAGGTTTTTGTGCTGCATCAAGCTACTTGTTACCAAAAATATGAGAGTATTACCTTCACCTTTAAAATACAATGTTAGTAGCACATGTTGATGTGCAGAATGGGCAAAATATTAGAATCAAGTCATTTACAGAATAGAATTCAGGTGATATTTCTGACTGTAAATGCTCCAAACAGAATTCTCAGTGACCTTCTCCTCTCAACATTTGATTTCCCCTACAGTGCTGGTTCGTATAAAGGATGGAGACACTGGAAAGTGCTGGCAAGGAAGGAGTGGAGTTGGACGGATCAGCCCTTTTAAACACCAGCCTAGATGGTGTCGCCAACGCCACCAACATTACCTTTTACCCCTACTATCAGCACTCCCTATATGTGGCTGCCAGCTACATCCTGGCATACTCCTTCATCTTTCTGCTGTGCATGGTGGGTAACATCCTGGTGTGTCTCATCGTACTGGAAAACCGGCATATGCGCACAGTCACCAACCTCTTCATCCTCAACCTGGCTATCAGTGATCTGCTGGTGGGGATCTTCTGTATCCCTACAACACTGGTGGACAATCTCATCACAGGTAAAGAGCCTGTCAGAAGTTCTATCGTCTGTTGCAACACATCTTCAGCAAACTATAATGCTACCACATGCATATCAGTCAGGTCTTGTTCTTTTAGGTTAGGCTCAACTTACCCTTGTGATGTGTTACAAAAAGTAATGACAATAGCATCGTTGTAGAGTATCGCTGTTGCCTAATAACTACCATGCAGATTTCATATAAAACTAGCCCTGGCCCCTGATCTCTCTGCCTGTGTGAGCTCTTTTCCTTTGCTGCTCCCGCTATTGATTCAAACACTAACCTTGATCCGTGTGGGCTTTATTGTTAGCTGCTAAAATGTTCACTTTATTCAATGGAAGTGTCCTTTGATGAAATAATACATTCAACATCAATAATTTTTAGTAAATACATGGTTATCCTTGTAGTAGCCTTCTTTTGAGCCTTGTAGCTCTTGCAAGCTAAGAAATGGATTTTCAGTGGATGGTGCAAAGAGAACACTTTAAAACCACATGGTGCCAGTTCAGCAGTGGACTTCACCAGTAGGTGGGTGGCCTTGTCTTATTGCTGAAGAGGAGGCCACTACTGTGCATTAACCCTTTTCGTATTGTTGCATATGCTGAGAGCAGCCTTGGTGACCAGAGGTTGAGTGGAAATGCCCTTGTTAATAGTTTGGTAATGAAAAAGCGTGTAAGCGAGTAAGCGTGTGGTTTTACCATTGCAACCATAGATCTGAATTACAGTCAGCTAGTACTGAGGAGGTGCATATTTGCTACAGACCATTACTAGACCATCTTTCTATGAATGAGATTAGGCCTGCATGCCATAGAAATGCAAGTTGTTCTGTAAATTTAGGCTTAAGGCCAGACTTTGAAAAAGGCGGAAGCTATCGGTGCGTATTAGCTGTTTTACGTCATCCACTTTGTGACTGCTGCACCAAAGATAAATGATTCGAGAACAGTTATGAAAGTTACAAAGTAAAAATAAATAAATAAATAAAATGCCTACATTATATAGGCCTATACCCAAATACACTGCAGTGGCAAACCATTTATTATTATTATTATTATTATTATTATTATTATTGTTGTTGTTATTGTTATTATTATTATTATTATTATCATTATCATTATCATCATTTTATTGGTTAGCTAAGTAAACACTAACCTTCTTGCCATAGTTAGGCTGAATAGAATATACTGTGTTTTTCTTGTTAGGCTCTCTCGTTCCTTATTTCATGTAACTGATTATCTTAGTTTATTATTGCAATAATTCCACAACTGCAAATACTGTTACTTAAATCGCTGTGTAATAATTAATGTCACATACCTGCAATATTTGTTTATCTAGAAGAAACTTTTCCTCCTCAAAATACAAATTTGCCCAAAGCTTCAATGGTTCTGGATTCAACCTGAGCTCCACCCAGTGAATCTATCTGGGCAGCTCCTTGGTTGTTTGCTTTTAGAAAAGTTAGTAAGGCTATGTCAGCTCACAATAACACATCAGAATGCTGAAATAATCAATGGAGTCACCTGCTGTGCTCTTGTATAAACTGTGCACAGCCACTCTCAGTTCTGAAACATGATCCTGCTGTGAGATGCTACAGCAGGTACAATTCAGTTGCTGAATTGCCCCGTCTCACGTGACATGCTCGTTGATGTCTTGTCTGAGCAAAATCACGTGTGAGCCGCAGCTCGTTCTTGCTGCTGGCTCCACACTTGCTGCTTGTGCTCTCAGTTCTTTTGTACAGTCCTCCAGGGAGCGAGGAACTGAGGTGGGAAGCTTATTACATGGTGGCTTTGCTTTATCATTGTCAGAATAAACAGAGATTACTTCAGAGAAATCACGTCCTCACACAAAGCAGAAGCTCACCAGTTAAACTTATTATTGTTTCACCAAAATTTACAGTGAAAAATTTTGGATTCCCCTAAATAAAAAAAAATAAAAAAAATAGAATGACAAGTGCAATGAGTTTAACAGTTTTTTCTCGAGCCCCGACATCAGAGTGTCATTTCGGCAAGAAAGGAATTCATTGTTCATGTTTATGGGGAAATCTGAACATAATGGTTTATGCCCCAGTGGTTTTTGGATGTTTATGTATATGAACCCATGACAGAAGCACTAAAACTGTGTCCAAAACTGTACTGTGATGTTGCATAACTTCAAAACCACATCTCCAAAATCAATCATCAGTATAAAAAGATAATATACAAGTCATTCTGTCTCAAATCATAACATCTTTAGAACAATTTCTGCTTGACCATCTCTGATTGACCTGTAATTATTACAGCATAAACAATATTTTGAATACTTTTGTGGATAACATTTCTTACCAAATTGTCCCATATTCAGCATGTCGTTTTGCACACGGAAATTTGAGGCTATGTTTTAACAATTCTTACCATTTGAATAATTAAAAGTTTCTATTTTTAATAGTTGTAATCAGTGCCCAATTCAATTTAAGAGACATTTTAATTACATTTAAAGTGCAATTAACTGTGTTAAGTGGGTTTTTGGATTGTTTGCATGAACATCTTTTAGTTCTTTTTGTGGCCTTATTCATGTATTAGGTTTTAGTGTAGGGGTATCTCTGATATTTAAAATGAAGTTGGATACCAGACAAGAGTACACACAATCCTCACTTTTAAAACTTACTGTAATGAACAAGCTTGAAGGAGATTTTACCACCCTTGCTACAGAAATGTACAAGATGACAGGAGAACACACTGTTTAGTTT